GAGGACCGGCAGGCTGGTGCGTCCCTGGGCTCTCCCCTCCCCCAGTCCAGGCTGTGCCCCACCTGGCCCCACGCTGCACCCTGTGGCGGATCACGGTGACCCGTCTGTGTCTATGAGCAAGCCGTCCGGATGCGGCCTGCATGGAAGCTTCCAGAAGCAGCTAGGGGAAGGGGGTGCCACGTGCTCCCGCAGGGCTGGAGAGGCAGGGTCTATAAGAAGCGGGTCGTGCCCGCCGCCCAGAGTCGGGAGGAGGCCGCTGCGGGAAGAAGCGGAGCCCCCAGACTCCTGAGCCTGCCCCACAGGAAGACGAGACCCGGGGGAAGAGACGCCTGAGGGCGGCCCCCAGCCCCTCCCGGCCTCTGCTTTCAGCCTGCACCGCACCTGGTCCCTCGGAACGACTGGGGTTTGCACTCTTCTTCTGTCAAATCTCTACGCTCCACTCCCGCCCTGCTACCTACTCTCCATGGGATCGCAGTCAAGAGACGTAACCTTTTCTGCCTCCGTTTCCCATGTGTAACATGGGGCACCAGCAGGCTGTACCGCTAAGCCTCGCTACAGGGATTAAGTGAGCAATGCGTGGTCTGTAGCCAGCGGGTCTTCAGGGACCCGGGGGAAGGCTGGGCACCGCAGAGACGCTTCCCAGCCACACTCGCTGAGCTGCGCCGGGTTCGGATGGCTCCACCCAAGTTCCCTTCAGGAAACTGGGAACTTGGATAAGAAATGGATAATGGATAATGGATAAGACCCAGCGTCCACCGGGGTCTGCACTCTAAGTGGTTTGCTCCTCGAGAGGGCTGTTGCACGTGAATAATGCCCTGTGATCCATTCCGCAGATGCGGGGGTGTGGGGGGAAACGGGCTGTGCCCGGAGCCGAGAGAGCTGCTGTCATCTGCACAGAGGCAGGCGCGACGCGGGATGTGTGTGTCACTGGTGTCAAAGCCTCCTCAATTTTTGGGGGAAGGAAATGGGATATAAATAAATGTGTAAATATTTCTGTAAAATTCACAGTCTCTGACTCAGGAGGCAGAGAGCTGTGTGCCTTCAAACCAGAGTATCTGTAAACTGGGTTTCTATCAGTGAGGACAGAGCAAATGCCAGCTCTTTCAAGATTCACCCCAATGTCCTCTTCTGCGACATAAGAAACACAGCTGGGACTGGCCACTTCTGCCTACAGGGGGGCCACCTACACCTGCAGGGAGGCAGCAGGGCTCTGGGTCCTCAAAAGGAGAGCAGGAACCCCCCTATGCAGCAAAGCCAGGCCTGGGGTGTCCACATCCCACAGCAGGGGAATCAGCTCCCACTACAGCAAGGCCAGACCTGGGGGTTCACACCCCATAGCACGGGAATCAGCTCCCACCACAGCAAGGCCAGGCCTGGGGGTTCACACCCCACAGCAGTGGAATCAGCTGCCACTACAGCAAGGCCAGGCCTAGGGGTTTACACCCCACAGCAGGGTAATCCATTGTGACCCCTGTGGTTCTAAGAAGAGAAAACCCCATTCAGAGGTGCTCACACAAAAAATTAAATACGTACGTGTGCGTGCATGTGTGTGTACGCGTGCGCGTGTGTGTACGCGTGCGTGTGTGTGTACGCGTGCATGCAAGCATGTACTAATTTATTGCAAAGCCGGGCATGTTGGCTTTAGGAACAGCTGGATCCAGGTGTTCAGTCACCAGCCCGTTCTTGGGTTTCTCGGGGCCCTGTGCACTCTGAGCTCTCCCCTCTTGATGAGAAGGCAGTTGCAGCTCCCTCATCTCCCAGCCTTGACGTTTTACCTTGTGGGAAAAGCCTGGTTGGTTTTTTCTTGCTGGCCCCCTGGTAATTCCAGAATTCACTCTTGACTAGACCAGCTGAAACCACCTGACCAGCCCTGAGCCGTCCTCAGTGCCTGGGATGACCGTCACGCTCTGACTGGCTTAGACCTGGGCCAGGGCATCCAAAGCTGGGCTGAAATGCATCAGTGTGGGGAGCGGGGACTTCCACCTGGAGCCCGGGACGGGACCTCAGGAGGCAGATGACGAGACACACTAAGGCGCGCACGCCCACATCTGTGGTAGAAAAGCCATCCCTTGACACGGGCGAGGCTGGGCCCTGAGAGACCCTCACCCACCCTGCACTCGGCACCCAGGGTCCAGTCTCCCGGGCCTCCGGAAAACAAACCTTGGGGGACGCAAGGGTCACTTGGGGCTTCAGCTGCAGCTCGGGTTCAATCCTGACTCAGAGATGACCCGGCCCTCATGACTGGACGCACGGGGCCCCCGCCTGCCAACTGGACTGACTGAGGTCGTGCACAGCCTTGCTGGGGTCCTCCAGAGGGTTCCACAGGGGACCGAAGGCCTGCAGGGATTCGAAAACCAGTGCTGGAGGCAGCCTCTCTCCCTCACAGCAAGAGCCGGGAGATAAAACAGGCAGGCCAGGAGAGCAGCTCCTTCCTTATGGCCGGAAGCCCTTCAAGTCACAGGGGAGGAGTGATGGGGGCAGGAGAGGTGGGGACTGGGGCAGGGCACTTGGGGACCCCCCATCTGCCAGATGGGCTGTGGTGTTTCCACTCTTGCCGTGTGAGCAGGAAAGGGTTAACTTGGCAGGCGGCTCCTCCACACCCTGAGCATCTGCACCCGGCCCCTGCCCGCCCCAGGCCCTGGAACCTGCTGCTGAGAAGATAGCCCTGCTCACCCAGCCTCGCCCCGGTAGTCTGTGCTGTACCAGGGTTCACGGTGGGGCTGTGGCCTCGTGGCGTCAGCTTGACCTCTGGAGGGTGGAGACCGAGGTCAGCCATGTCCACAAGACCAACTCAGTGAGGACCTTGGACGCCGACACTCAGAGGGCTCCCGGGCTGGTCCCGCCTGGCACACGCTGTTACACGTCGGTGCTGGAGGAGCAAGTCCATGGGATGCCCTGGGAGGGGACACCTGGGAGCTTGTGCCCGGCCTCTCCGGGGCCCTGCCTGGGTGTCTCTTTAACCTCCCTCTGACTTTAACCTGTGTCCTCTGCTGTGAGAAACCTCAGCAGGGAAAAGCAGCCCGGCTGGGCCCTGTCTATCCTTCTAGAGAGTTGTGGAACGTCAGGGTGGTCTCAGGGGTCTTCCTGCTGCGCAACAGCTGCCTGAAGACTCACAGCCGAGGACGGCACTCACTCCAGCAGCGAGGGAGCCCTAACGGCACACTAATTTCACCCCCAAATTCAGGACACAGAGGAGTGTTAAAAAACCCACACATACACGCATGCGCACACGTGCACACACACACGTGTGTTCGCACACATACACATGCACAAGCACACATGTACATCCACACGCACACACACACCCACGCACACGCACACATGTACACGCACGCACACATGCACACACACACACACCCTCAGTGCACAGGCCGGGCTAACACACACGAGCGCATGAGCCGCTTTCCAAACCAAAGTCACTCCAGCCCTGTGCCTGTAGCTGGCGCCACATGAAAACATCACTGTGTTCTTATTTATGGAGCGTGTTTCTTTAAATAGACCTATTTTAAAACTAAATGCATTTTTTATTTGAAAAGGAATCTTTGTTTTATCGCTGCAAATGGAAAGCTGGCAGTACGCGTGTTAAATCATGGAAACCATGAAAATAAGTGGAATGAAAATGAAACAAGGTTGCCACAGTCTGGAGGTGGTGGAGGTGCGGAAGCTTCCGTGCCCAGGCCTCGGCCCTGTTTGTCTAAAGGGCGCGTGGAGACACCTCCTGCTGCTGGGGAGCTGGGCACGCCCCACGTGAGGCGCCGTGCTGTCTGAGGGATCATAGTCACACTGAGAATTGGTTCCCAGTGCGCATCTGTGGGAAGGGTGTGAAGCGGCCCACCTGGCCAGAGCACAGAGCTCCGGGCCCCGCACCCCCCTCCAGGCCGTCCGGGGTGCTCCCTGCACCCCTGGACCCCGCGGGTCTACCTGGCTGTCCCACCTCCCTCCCTCTGCATGCAGGAAACCCCAGAGCAGGTGAGTGAATGCCCTGGGGACCAGTGCCCAGTGCCCAAGGCATGAGGAATGCGGCTCAGACTCGCCTTCCCCCTCCCTCCTCTTCCCTGCCAGCCTCCCCAGCCTCCCCAGCCCCGTCTCAAATGAGCATCCGGTGTCAGGGCCTGCTGGCGGAGGGGGCAGGCTGACCACACCAGGAGCCGCAGAGGGCACTGCTGCCCACCTGCCCTTCCTCCCTCGGGCAGCTCCAGGAGGAGGCAAGTGTGGCTGAGGCTGCCCGCCGCCACCCCACGGTGACAAGTCGACCCTACTGTGCAGCACAGGCACCCAGCTTCTGTGGGTTGAGGCCGCCAGGGGCCCTGGGACAGCATCGTGTTGTGGGCTGGGCTCTGGGAGGGAGGCGGGGGAGAGGTTGGGGTAGGGGCTGGCCCAGCCTGCCAGTCACTCCCAGCCCCAGAGGCCGAGCTCGGGGTGAACTTTATCCGCCACTGATGCAGCGTTTGTCCTGGCTGCTCCATCAGGACAGGTGTGAGGGTCACAGACCAGCTCTGACCCGAGTGGCGCTGAGGCAAAGCCAGGCCTGGGGTGACGGGACGGGAGGCGCCCAGGCTGCGGATGGAAATGGGAAAGGCCATCGCCTGACGCGGTAGACACGCTGCTGGGCAGTGGCTGAGGCCCCAGCGGGCAGGACCCGGGCTGGCAGGGCCTGACTCCGGGGCCTGAGCTCCGTGAGCCACAGTGCTCAGCCCGGCTTCCGTGATCCACAGAGGCAACCACGGCAGGGGGGCCCCAAGCCTGGGGCCGGGGCCCTGAGACGGTCGCCCGCAGCCAAGAGAGCAGGAAGCGGGAGAGACAGAGAGAGAGAAAGAGAGAGAGAGAGACAGAGAGATCCAGAGAGAGTGAGAGAAGGAAAGAGGGAGAGACAGAGACCCAAAACAGGGAGAGACAGAGGAGGAGAGACAGGAAGGGAGGAGGCAGGAGGAGCGACAGCCCGGGCTCCCCCGCCTTGCTTCCCGACAGCAGGCCCTCAGACCTCCGGCGCGGGCACTCACTTTCTGGGCCGGTAGTCAGGGATGCTCCGGTCCAGGGAGATGCGGTCGCTGAGCTGGGCGTTGTATCCGTACTCCTCGTAGCTGCCCTCCGCCTCCTGGCCATCGTCACGCAGGGTGGCTGCCAAGCCGCCCTGACCCAGGCCCCCTGGCCCCTCCACCAGGCCGATGGGCTTGGCGAGGCCTGGGGGGAACGAAGAGAGGGAAGTCAGGCCCAGGATGCGCAGCGGCCGCACCCGGGAGACGCCCCTCCTGCCCTCCCTGACGGCCGCATCCCCAGGGCGAGCCCAGCAAACTCCCTGCAGGTGGCAGGCTCCAGAGGGTGAGACCCAGACTGCGGCACTGAGGCCCTGCGCACGGTGAGAGGGCGGTGCCGGGTGGAGGAGGGACGGGAGGCGGGTGTCGCACAGCAGTCAAGGGCAGTGGACTCCGTGTGACGCTGCCACAGTGAATATTTGTTATGTATTTGTTGATTCAGGGTCTCGCTCTGTCACCCAGGCTGCAGTGCAGTGGCACGATCTCAGCTCACTGCAGCCTCCACCTCCCAGGCTCAAGCGATCCTCCCACCTCAGCCTCCTGAGCAGCTGGGCGCACCGCCACAACTGGCAAATGTTTGTATTTTTTGTGGAGACAGGATTTCACCACGATGACCAGGCTGGTCTTGAACTCCTGACCTCAAGCGACCCACCCACCTCGGCCTCCCAAAGTGCTGGGATTACAGTTACAGGCGTGAGCCACTGCACTGGCCAATACCTGTTCTTATGCAACTGTCCAGACCCACAGCAGACGTGACACCGAGTGAGCCCCCCGGGCCACAGACCACAGTGACCGGCCTGTGTCTGGCAGGATCGGCCCTTCGACGGCGACAGCACACGCACGCACGTTCATGCCGGGTCACTACACCTGCAGTGGGGGCGGCGGAGGCGGGAGCTGCACTAAGTCTATAAACCCAAAGCTGCTCTGACAGCCACGCCCACGAACGTCAAAACATCAACTCAGAAACTGCAATGAGTCTAAGAAGATCAGGTGCTTTAAACGCCGTGCCACTGCCACCACCCCACCAGCGCCTGCGTAACGTGAGCATAACACACCTCCACACACGTGGTGCCCTCTGGGGTAAGAAGAACTGGCCGTCCACATAGGCAGCGGCTGAGATGCGGCTCACACACGTGGCGCTGAGTCAAAGAATCAACACAGACGGAATCACAGCCCACCCCACAGCCATGCGGCAGGACGGGGACCCCGGGGTAGGGCGGTGTCAGCTAGAAAGGAGCAAGTGGAACATCTGGGCGGCTCGGGAAGCTCCACAGCTTGGTCAGGGTGTGAGGAGTGGGTGCCTAGTGGGGGCCGGGCCAGGGAAACTTCTAGGTGATCAGCTGTGCCTGGCAAGTGGATGTGGCCTGGGGATACTGTTCCCAGAGGGACAGGGGCAACAGGGGTGTCCCCCCGCAAAGACGGCACCCTTGGTGCTCTCTGAGCTGGGAGTCTCTGGGGTAGCTTGGATGTGGGGGCAGGTGCCAGGGCAGCAGTTTTAAGCCACAAAGAGGCAGCATGGGCCCCTGTGGCTGGGCTGCCTTTTGTCAGCTTGCATAGAGAGTTCTCTGGCCCGTGGAGGAAGGCCAGTGGGAACACAGACTCGGGAAATATCCGCTGCCGACATCCCTCACTGCCCGCGTGGGAGAGGCCCTTCTCCGGGGGCACCAGCAAGATCTCTGCAGATTCCTGCTCCAGGGAGGGCGGGGAGGGAGCGATGCCCTGGATAGATCCCAGCCCCCACATGGGCAGTGAGTGGCTTCTCTGCTCAGCACACCTGAGGCTCAAGCCTCACAGAACCTCTGCACTTTCTGGAATATTCCATTTTAAATGGGTAAACAAAGTGTTTGTGTTTATGTAGGACTGAAGGATACAGATTGGATGTAGAATTGAAAAATTACACGACACCAATCACTTCCACTTATTATTTTAATACTTTGAGATAAATATGTAATCCTGCATTTTTAGATATCGATATTGCTCTTGCATTGTTCACTCTGGAAGGTCTGGAGTGGATGTCTCCCAGAGGCGGGCGCAGCAGCCTCTAACTCGAGAGACGTCCCAGCATTTGCGGGGCTCACGCCTTGGGTGTCTGAGGACGGTTTCGGTGGCTGAGGGCAAGTCAGGTGGCCAAGTGCAGTTCAGGTGTCTGAACGTGGTTCAGGTGTGGTTCGGGTGGCTGAGGGTGGATTAGCTGTCTGAGCACAGGTCCGGTGTCTGAGAATGGATCGGGTGTCTGGGCGCAGGTCCAGTGTCTGGGCGAGGGTTGGGTGTCTGGGCGAAGGTCGGGTGTCTGAGTGGGAGGGTCCAGTGTCTGGGCGCGGGTCGGGTGTCTGGGCGGGGTTTGGGCGTGGTTCAGGTGTCTGGGCACGTGTCGGGTGTCTGGGCGGGGTTTGGGCGTGGGTCGGGTGTCTGGGCGTGGGTCAGGTGTCTGAGCGGGCGGGTCCGGTGACTGGGCGTGGGTCGGGTGGCTGAGCGTGGTTTTGGTGCCCGATCACAGTTTGGGACGGGTGCCTGATGCCTGGCATTGGGACTTTTTCACTTGTAAAAGTAAAACATACACACATTGAAAAATTCAAACAATCCAGAAAAATCATAAAACGGAGAGTTAACATCTGCACTGTCTCTGCGAGCTCCACCCTCCAGAGGAGATTTGTCTTTCTGGTTCGAGTTCTTTTCACGATGTCTACAGCACACGAGCACGGGAAGCTTGTGATCCGCCCCTGACTTCTTGGCCTGAAAAATGAGAAGCTGAGCCCATTTTCATCTTCTTTGCCTGCCCCCTCCTCCTTCCCTCAATTTTTCTTAGCTATTATTTTTAGTGATTCTGTGGTTACCTTGGTGGCTTCAAAAGGAACACTTAAGCCTCTATTTCTGGAAGCTTCAACACTAGCCAGCATCTCTTGATTCCTTACCTCTTCAGAGGAGAAATCGGTGCCCTGCCCCACCGGGGGCCGGCTGCTCAGCTGTGCGGCTGCTTTTATGTCCTCGAAGGCGAATGTGACACCTGCACTCGGCTCTATCTCTGTGAGTGAGCGTCCACAGGACTTGACTTCAGGGTAGTTCTAGAATGAGAAGTGGCGGGCGAGGGGCTCACAACTGTCATCCCAACACTTTGGGAGGCTGAGGCGGGCGGATCACTTGAGGTCGGGAGTTGGAGACCAGCCTGACCAACATGGCGAAATGTCATCTCTGCTAAAAATATAAAAATTAGCCGGGTGTGGTGGCCCACACCTGTAATCCCAGCTACTCGGGAGGCTGAGGCAGGAGAATCACTTGGACCTAGGAGGCGGAGTTTGCAATGAGCAGGGATTGCACCACTGCACTCCAGCCTGGGTAACAGAGAGAGCGAAGCTCCATCTCAAAAAAAAGAAAAAAAAAATGTGAATTGACATGACCACATCAGGATTATGTAGCTATTATTCACCAAGGCGCCAGCACGGCCTGGACCACTAGGACCAAAATATAATTCTATCACCCACTAAGCCTGTGCTACTTAACGAAGAACTTTTAAAGGTCAAGACAATATAATTGACTTTCCTGACACTCTATTAATTTCCCAGACTTATTTTGACTTGTTTTAGGTTTGGATCTTGACTTTTCATATGCCTTTTCAGAGCAGACACAAAGATAATTATTAGCAATAATAATATCTACCAAGCATGCACCCTTTACATGTATTAACTTGTCATTCCCCACAACACCCCAGGGACGTAGGTTCTGTATTTCACTCCATTTTGCAGATGAGGAAACTGAGGCTCAGAGAGGCCAGGCCACACGCTCAAGGTCACAGGGCTTGTCAGCACCAGAACCGTGTTTGAACCCACGCAACGTGGCATGGAGCAGCTGCTCTGACGGCCGGGCTCTGCTGCCATGTGAGCTCAGGCCTCCTGACGATGTGACTGGGAAACACGTCCTGGAGACATTCCCGACTGCAGGGCTGGCCCTCAGCACCCTCACCTGATGGCCTTCTCACTCCTGGCTTCCTTTGCATCAGTCGTTTGCCCAGTGACCACCCCTGGGCCCTTGTCTCTCTAAGCTTGGGTGGGCTCCATCGTCCTGTGGATCCCACATCTGCTCAGGTCCTGAACTTCCTCTTCATCCCACTGGAGTATATTCCTAAAGAAAACTGAAGAAGGGTTGTGTGGAAAGTAAACTTCTGAGCCCTAAAAATGTCTGAAAGTGCCTTTCATTGACCTTCATGCTTGATTGATAATTGTGCTGGGTATAGAATTCCAGGCTTGATGGCTTTCTCCCCCTCATGCAGCACCCACTGTGTCCAGTGAGCGTTCTGAGGCTAGTGGGACCCTCTTTCTTCTGTAGATTGGCATTTTATTTCTGCCTCTCTCTGGAAACTTTTTTTTTTGTCATTGGCATTCTAGATTGGTCAGGGCATATCTTGAAATGAATCACAGTCACGCTTGGCAATCCACACTTGTGCTGATGTTCACAGCTCTAGGAAGTTTGTTCTATTAATTATGTGACTATATTCCCATCTGCCATCCCCATTTTCTCTTCTGTAACTGTTAAATGAGTGTTTTCCGTCCTGGTTTATCTCCAGCCTCCTGATGCTTCATTCTCCATTTTCATTCTCTTGTTTTTCGTATCATCAGCTTGATCTTTTGTTGTGCCATGTTGCTAATTAGCCTGTCCAATGAATTGGTTTTGTCATCATATTTTTAACCCCAAAGGATGGAAGCTTCTTGTTCTCCAATCGCCCCTGCCTTGCACAAATGGCAAATTGGTTTTATTTCATGTGGTTGGCAGCAGCCCCAAAGCTGTCTGCATCCTAATCCCTGGAACTGGGGTCACGTTACATGGCTAAGGGGACTTGGCAGATGCCCCCAGCTTTGCCTGAATCTGTTCATTGGCCAGAAGGAGTGGAGGAGCTGGGCCTTCACTGGCTTGCCTGCTCCTTGCTGTGGCCCCCAGTCATTCGTGTGGGGGTTGGAGGACCCCCGGCCACACTGCCACTCACAGCTTCCTTGAGGAGGAGGCAGCGAGGGTTGCCATGCCTCTGACTGTGTTTCTGAAGCGAGAGGCTGCTGTTCTCGTCCTCCCTCCAACCTGGGGCTCCACGCCTCCCATCACTGCTGTGTCTGTGCTTAAGAGAACCGAGCAGCCCCTGGTCCAGACACAGATGCCCACGGG